TTCTAACCTAACTCTAGGTGAGAAAGGCGATCACATTTACATCAACATACCATACCATCATCACCACCAAGATTTGGGATATGAAACACATTTTTGTTGTAGTGAGTACAATCCAGATCATGAACGCCTACACATGCGAGACAATAATTTTATATAGTATATTTAATATAGAGAATAATATTACATCAATTGCGGTTCTAATTAAACTGCATCGAGTATTTGTTTTTTAATTGTAATTAGACTGTCTGTATATAACAGACAACTGGTAGCACAGCTTTCTGTGCTTTTCAAAGAAATTATATGGATACATAAAGATTCATCACAAAATGATTTTCTCTCTCGTGGGAATAACATGTTGTAGGCAATTGACTTTGAATTGATAAATCCCAGAGAGTGAGTTTGTCTTTTACATTAACACGGAAATCCCAAGAGTATCTAAATCCTTCCAATCAGTGGAAGCTAGCAGTTAATGGGACATAATGAAACAAGATTACAGACAAAAAAAAAAAAGCCAGTAAAGGTAAATGGGGGAAAAAGTGAATGTAACACAAACAGCTTGCCTTTATGGAAGCCAATGACAGTATCTCACATATATTTTAACTGTTAGTATTTTATCTATGTTAAACATTTTAAACATTAGCAACTGGATCATAACATTAATAGGAGATTTAACCATCACGTTGCTATTTAATTGATGTCCGTAGGGTTATGTAGCTTCCAGCTATAGATGACAGTCATTGGATGTTCTAGATTTGTCCATTTATCACAATCTAGTACCCGAAGTGACATTTTTTTAGCAGTGTGTATGGGGACAATGATTGTCCATTTTAATCTATCATCATAGATAATGCATTGCATATTTTAAATATAATATTTGTCCTCAGGGATCTCCTAATGCTAGTTTAAGTAGTGGGGCCATCCCTAACAGACTTGGAAGAGAATCCACCAATCAGGAATTTTGTGTCTTGTGCTCGTTTCCCCCTCCCATATACTCCTCTCCTGCAGTGGTTTGAAGGATGTGTAGTTCAGCCCAAAGTCAGTCAGTTTTATAAAATGGACTTTATGCAGTCATTTACATCTGAGTGGTAGATGCGTTGGTGGTATGCATCCAATCCAGCTTGCCCATTGGCTCACAGGCTGGACTGAGCTTTCATAGTATGGAGAAAACTTCCGCCTCTTTTGTCTATAGTCTTCTATCTGCAGCAAATGTGCGTGGAGAAAGGAACCAGGGAACTCTCTGCATCATAACCTGTGCAATGAGACTTGTTATGGTGCGTAGGGTAATGCTCTGATATGTAGTTGCAGTCTGATACCTAAAATTCTAACACCCACAGATCAATCTAAAATGTATCCATGCATGGCTATCTGTGTGTCATACTGATACTATGTACTATTTCACACTTATACATGGGGAAAAGTATGTGTGTCACGCAACATAATTCTTATTATTCAAGTAAATAAATAACAGCCACCGCTGCAGAGAAATACAAATCCCTCCCCAGGACTCAATTCTGTCTGCATCACTGCAGAAGTACTGCAACAGGAAGCCACTCATTCTACAACTACTTTTGGAGGCCAAAATGACTGACTGTAATGTACATTACAGGACTTGTACATTATTAACAATGCCAACAGGCTCATTACAAATTTCCTGTGTGAGGACATATAACCATGTTCTTATTATGTTATACCCATTTTATGCAACAAAAATGGTATACCATGTCTGATATATTTTACACGGAGTTGTGTTATATAATGTCTACACTTATCTTCCCAATATTTCTTCAAAGGATGAACAAATTATGGCGCAATGGACAGTCTCTAGCATCTCAGGGTGTATTGTAAGGGGTATCCTATGATATCTATGGCTATGTATGCTATTGCAATAACAATAATATCTCAAGAAATGAAAGTAAATCTTACTATCAAGTTCAGGAGAAAATACATATTGTTTAGATAGAGAACTGGTTCAATTTACAACACAATTAGACTCTATGTAAGTAGAAATTATTTTATCCGTAGTTAGCCTTTTGTAATTCACTCTATACGTATTCTGTTTTCCCACTTACCTTTGTTACATTTGGTTGCCTCCATTTTTACATCTAGTTACATGCAGGGCCATTGCGAGACTCTTTTGCTTTCTAGGCAAGACAAGCTACTTGAAACCCCCTCACCTCTCCACCACCCAAAACAAAAATGGTCAGTTTTGTGTGTCTCATTGTCCCGTCCTCCCCATCCCCTCTGTACATCTTTGCCCCCCACCAGCACCTCTGCGTGTCTCTTTGTCCCCCTACCCCTTTGTATCTCTTTTTTTCCTCTTCCCCAGCCCCTCTGTAAATCTCTTTCCCCTAGCACAATGTGGGGCTCTTTCTTTACCCCCAAAGCTCCTTTTTGTGTCTCCCTTCTCCCGCCAACCCCCTTGTGTGTCTCTTTAACCACACTAGCCCTTCTGTGCGCCTCTTTTCTCTCCCTCAGTCCTCTGTGTGCCTCTCCCCCCCCCCAGCCCTCTGTGTGCCCCTTTGTTAGCTCTACCCCTGTGGTAGCTCACCTCCATCAATGTAGAGTGGCCGAACCGCAAACTGCGATAGAGGAGCTTCTGTTCCCTCTACCCGGTCTGACAGGAAGCTGCTCGATGATCTCAGCGTCATTTTACAGAGTCAAACTCAAAACATCAGGAAGTGCCTCTAGTGGCTGTCTGGTAGGCTCAACCCTGCAACATAAACAGTGCAGTTTCTCTAAAATTGTTAGATTGCCGAGTTAAGGGAACAAGGACACTGCACCTAGACCACTTCCATGAGATGAAGTGGTTGGGCACCTATAGTGTCCCCAAAGTCCTGTTTACGAGGGTTAGTAAGAGAATGAGTATAAAAGTATGTTTTTGTGTATATGCAGACATGCTAAAAGGCAATGTTTATTATCAGATTACTCCTAATGTGTCTTGGTTAAAATCTTTAATATTCTTATTATGTTTCTCTTGGACCAAAGCAAAGGGTTATAGAGTAGGTCCAAGAGGTAAAGGAGTAAAGTACCAGCTCTAAATGCTGTAAACAGTCAGAACACAAAGTTGTTTTATTCTTAAGCTCAATAAAGCCTGCAGGGGAGAGTGACTGTTGTGTGCTCCACTTCTTACACCAACTAGTTTAACCACTTAAGGATCAAATACTATACTATACTATACTATACTGTCATCCCAATCTTGTCACTGTATGCCTTGTGCCAAAATGGAATGTTTCACTTCTTTGTTGCCTCTATATAGTTCTACAGTTAGTAATTGAGTGGAAAATTTCTTTAAAAACCCTTAAAGAACAGATTGTTATGATGCCTTTGTCAATTACGGGCCCTAAGGAGTTAATAAAAGTACCCAATGGTAGATTTGTGGGCTGCCTAGAGTAAAGGAGAGGATATGCCAGAAGTGACATTTTTTAAGGATCCTCTTGGCTTTGTCTCAGTTTTCTGTGTAGCGTGTCACTGTATTATCTGCACTCACCTGGAACAAGTGGTGTCATGCATCATGACAACAATCAAAGAAACCTAATAGCTGAAAAATGTTTTAGAACGGCCAAGCTCAGACCTTAAATGAAATATTGTTGAGAACAACCCATGAAAGACATTGCAGATATATCAATGACATGAGGCAGTTCTATCAAACATTATGGATATAATAACTTCAATCTGTTAGGGAGGTACAAGAATGGTTAATGTCACTGGTGCAAATAACGGTTCCACCATGAAACACTTCAGTAACCCATTTTTTCCCACAACAAAAACAGCAAATGCTGAATGAATGTGTTAAAGAAGAAAAGTACACTGATCAGCCACAACGTTGAGACCACTGACAGGTGAAGTGAATAACATTGATTATACTGTTACAATGGCACTTGTCAAGGAGTAGGATATATTAGGCATCAAGTGAAGAATCAGTTCTTGACTTTCATGTGTAGGAAACTGGAAAAATGGGCAAGTAAAAAGATCTGAGTGACTTTGACAATAGTGATAGCTAGACGATTGGGTCAGGGTATCTCCAAAACAGCATGTATGCAGTGCTTAGTAGCTACCACAAGGGGTGCAAGGAAGGACAACTGGTTAACTGGCGCCAGGATCATGGGTGCCCAAAGCTCATTGAAAGACGGCTAGCCCGTCTGGTCCGATCACACAGAAGTGTGAAAAACTTGCTGAAAAACTTAATGCTGGCCATGATGGAAAGAGGTCAGATCACACAGTGCATTGCAGTTTGCTGTGTACGGGGCTGTCTAGCTGCAGACCATTCAGAGTGCCCGTGATGACCCCTGTCCATCACAGAAAATGCCTTCATTTTTTTAATTTTATTTAGATCAGATGGATCACTACGTGCATTTTCGTTGCTTAGCTGGGGAAGTGATGGCAGCAGGATGGACTATGGGAAGACGGTAGGCTGGCAGTGTTTTGCTCTGGGTAATGTTATGTTGGGAACCCTTAAATTCCTGGCATTTATGTGGATGTTACTTTGACATGTACCACCCACCTAGAGAGTGTTTCAGACCACATACACCCCTTCATTGGAATGGTGTTCACTGATGGCAGTGGCCTTCAGAGCAGGATAATGCACCCTGCAAAAATTGTTCAGGAATGGTTTGAGGGACATGACAAAGATTTCAAGGTGTTGTCTTGGCCTCCAAATTCCCCATATCTCAATCCGATTTGTGGGATGTGCTGGAACAACAAATCGATCCATGGAGGCCCCAACTCGCAACTTGCAGGACTTAAATGATCTGCTGCTAATGTCTTTGTGCCAGATACCACAGGACACGTTTAGCGGTCTGGTGGAATCCATGCCTCCACTCATCAGAGCTGTGTTGGCAGCACCAGGGGGACCTACACGATATTAGGCAGGGGGCTTAAATATTGCGCTAAACAGTGTATGTGTTGTGTGTAAATAAATAAATATATATTTCTTTAATTTTAAAATCATTCTTGTACTTCTAATAATTAAATATGATATCAGTTTAGATAGATTAAGTGAATTTTTATTAAAGCTGTATCACACAATGAAGCCACACAATGAGGTATTAAGATAGAAGAAAGGTAAACATACATAGAGATTGAAGTTTGAACATAGAAGTTTACCATTTTCAGAAGTGTTAGATAAAAATTTGTCCCCCCAAAAATGTTTTATAGACCTGAAAAAGGACCGTCATGCTTTCACATATTACCCGTCATGTGTATGTTAATGCCAAAGCAATTTTTCATTTAGATTCCACAAATGCATTATAAATTTAGACTGGAGACTCCAAGGTAACAAGATATTCATGTGCAATCCACTGGTACCTTGGGAATCCACAATTATTGATGGTAATGGGTTGTCATCAAAAGACATGGTAATCTTTTAGACATTATTAATTGCTGCTGAACGTCTGGTGCAAAAATAGACCTAGGATAACATAATGAATGCATCGCGGACTAAGCAACCCATTATTTTTTATAAATAATATTGTGACAACATATTCTGCATTGCTATACAATTGGAAAAAAAGAGAGAATAGGAACAAGCATATAAAAAGACAAAAAAGTTAAGATGAACACAAACAAGATGTGAGTAGGACCCTGTTTAAACAAACTTACAATATTATTGGACAATATGTACAGATAGCCACATAAGGAAATGTGAAGTCCGTATTAAGGAAAAGAAGAGCCACACTTTGGTGTAATTTCCTCTTAACATATGCTTCAACATTATGTGAGTTTTATAGGTTAATTTTTCTTTTTTACAATAAATGTTTTTATAGAATTTTGTATAAAACGGATAAAATGGCACATATTGTCTGTTGAGTTCCACAAAGGTTGTAATGTCAAAGAAACAAACTCAGAATTGTTGGTTTCTGGTGCAGAATTCGGACAAACATATTGTGGACTGTCACAACTACAGTAAGCCTCCTTGCTGGCATAATGACAAAAGGACAGAATAATTGATAGCAGCCTTATATAGATCAGGATCATAACTCCCATCAATCTCTGGCATACTGAGATTAGAAAACACAAACGGCCTTTTGAAATAAGTTTGATATCAATTTACCTACTTGTCAATGTACATTGGTAAAGAATATTTACAAATGACATTTTAGTATTAATACATATTGAATGGAAAAAATGCATCCCTTTCATAATCCACTCCTATAAAAATGTAGACTCCGTGAAAGGAACACAAACGGTGCATGGTTTCTTATCAAAAGTAATGCAACAAGCTGCTGTGATAAGTCTGTGGCATGCTCTTTATTCAAAGCAAAAAGAGTGATCAGAAAAGAAAATTTAACTAAAATAACTACTTCAACTATCTAAGTGAGCGATGTAATGAAATCTGTTTGCTGTGCTAGCTGTCTCCGGATTGGGCTGTAATTACACCACAGAAGGAAGAAAGGTAGCTGAATCTCAATCTAGATCATTTGTGTAAACTCAGCCGTCTTGTCAACGATGGTCTCACATTGCATGCATGCAAACCACAAAAATCATCTCCAGTGAACAAAACAGAGACAGGCTCAGGTTCCGAGCTTGTGATTACCTTATATTCTGTCATTGAAGTTTTGAGAGTTCTTTAATCTGGCAAACTACGAATAGAAAGTGGTTCTTAGATACAGTATGAATTTTAGAAACAGATCTAAAGGAAAACAGAGATACATTTCTTTTACACATGCACATTTAACAGTATAATTAACTTTACAAAAATGAGTCCATAATATGTTTTTTTTTTTTTTTTATATCTACTGCCATGCTGCGACATTGTAAAGCTTTTATTGCAATCTTAATACTTTCTTCGCAGTGCTGTTTTCTTTATATAGTTAGCATGTCAATTTTAAGATAGAAAGTCATTTCTAAGCTAGCAATTAAAAGTAGCTCCTATTAGTGTAACTAATTTTGCACATATATCACGGTTTGTCATAAATTTCCATTACTGTAACTCCCCTCTGAAGTCACAGCTGTCTTTTGCATTAAATAGAATTTTTTATACTATAAGACTCCCTGCCCATGATTAATCTTGAATGACTGAATTTTGTTAGTTTGTTTGCATTTGTGAGTTTATCAGTGTTGAGTCCCCAAAACAGCAGCATATCATCTTTTATGATGAATTATTAAAATGAGTTTGTTAAACACCTTTCACTGTATATGGTGTTTCCACTTTAATTGTAAGCTCTTTGGAACAGTTTCTTACAGACCGAAGCTTGATATGTTACTGAGAAGCACTTGCTATTAAAGTTGTATTTAAGACAGCACGTGATTCAACTAGTTCTATGACTAAGCCTAGTTTTATCTGTAAGGCGTTCTATTTATGGAAGCTGGCCAATGGTAAGGAGTATATTGGTGTGCTTCTTAGTTATGTGTGTGCCTTGGCATTTATCCAGCTGCCTTATTGTTTTTATATATTATAAAGATAATTACATTAAAAAAAAAAAGAAACAAAAATGAAATGGACAAACCTGTGGTGTTTCAATACCATTTCCAATAGTATTTATCAATCAAGAATTTTTAAAAAAGAGCCTAAACATGGCTCTATGCCAAAGGTAGCTCCCCATGTGTTGAAGAACTACAACTCCCATGAAGCTTTGTATTCCTTTAAAATGGCAAAGCATCATGGAAGCTGCAGCTTTAAAACATCTGGGGATCTACCTTTTGAGCACCCCTGCTGTAGGCTATGCGAGTGGATCTGATAGACCTATTACTCCCTATTTAATTACATGTGGCACTATACATTTTTTTTTGTTTTGGTTTTATTACATGAATGTCCATACAGCATCCTGGTAAAACCATTTAAAGGTCTCTACAATTTTACCTCTGAAAGGGGGTATTGTATAGGGTAAAGTATTGAATAATTCTTTTCGAATTTTGGTGAATTGAAATAGTCCTTTGCACACCATATTGCTGTATTGGAAATTTCTGTGTGAGAGCACCTTAATTGTGAAACAGCATGTACTTTTAAATTATTTTTTTACTAGAAATCATTGAAGCACCTTTGACACTTTCCAGATATTTGATAAACAATGAAGGGACAGACATTCTGATTTAAAAAAAGATATGTTGTGGTGTTTCATATTTAATAATAAAAAAAAATCCATTATTTAAAGTAGCCATTTCAAACACAATGAAACAATGTTTTAATATGAAAAATCACTTCAAACATTAACAAGAAAATCATACACTAATAGGAAGTGCAATATTTAAAATTATGGGTGCATTGTGTCTAGAAAAAAAAAACATCTTTATAGTATAATAATGTGTGAGAGACAGGAAGTTTATCTAGAGAGACAGCTTACTTTGTAGACACAAACGTACGATATATTAAGATTAATTTTCCTTTAATAATACGAGATGTCAATTTCCCTGTATGTAAATCAGAGCTCACACATCAGCAATAATTACTGCATTTATAACAGAGTCCTGCTAACCATAATTCTGCAAACGTACAATGTACATAGTGATGAGCAAACATTCTAGTGACATAACGACGAGCAGAAGTGTTTTAAAGACATAATTATTTCATCTTTACAACGTATAAAAACAAAAGAGCATATTTTTAGCAGCTCCCACGTTTAATAGCAGCTGCGAGTGTCCTTGATGTGTGTGCACGGCGCTCAGAAATATATTTATATAGCTGTATCTGTGTGTCTGGGTTTACAGAGGAGATTTCCTATTGACACCTGCAGCATCACACCCCTTGTGCCCTCACAGGAGCAGGAAAACCACAGGCCACCACACTGGCGCCAATCCTGGCTGTGTCCAATCAATAAGGACTTATTTCCTGGCCATTTGCTGAGGTCACAGAAGCAAACCTCATTAATTATTTCTACTGGTTCAGCCTCAAGTGTGCTTCTTGGCATGACAAGAGAAAACGGTTTGACCTTATCCCCCCCCATCGTCTTTTTCTATATTTAGCACCTGCAATTAAAAAGGAAAAGTTGCACATCCATTGTGTGATGCAGTGAATTAAAGAACAATGAAAACAGGCAGGTCCACTGATAACAGCCTAAAAGCATTGCAGCCCTCTACGTCCTGATGATTTGCACAAAATTAAATCAGCATTCTGTGATCCCACTTGATGTCATGAAAGTCTGGTCACAGCGTAAACAATGTTTTCTAAGGCGCTTCTAGCCTCGGAGGGAGGGAAGCACTGTAGGGTATCCAGTGCTTTGTCTCCATGGTTACGGCACAGGTCAATCGCAGAACTAACACCTTTGCCAGCCTTGATTGCCTCTTGCAACTGTTAGGAAACACAAGACATGGTTAAAAATCACGTCACAGAGAAGCCATATGGCTCAAATTATTTTACATATGACAGAATGGACAGGATATTACCCACTCCGCTACTTACACAAAAAAAGGTGGCACCTCTTCTAAAATGCTACATTACGCCACGGTGAAAGTACACAAGGCAGCTTTTTGTGTTTGGCTAACTGATTAGGAACGTCATGGTCTGCACAGTAGATGCAGAGCTAAAATTCTACCTTCCCTAACTGCCTTTCATTTCCACCAACAGCTGCTTTTTAGGGATTTTGACATTCACAAAAGAACAAAAACACAAATCCAGTAAAAAAAAAAAAAAAAAATATCTAAATAAATGAATGGAGATCTGAACGCAATGGGATGCTCTTAGCTTACCAATATAACATAAAAATCTAAATAAAATATATATAATATAGCCCCATAAAAATTATTTTCTTAAAACATTTCACTCCCATTTTACTGGCTTTTCACCTCTGAATTTGGTATTTTCTCTCCCCCCTTATTAAGTAGAGACACATACTTTTATCCAAAGTGTGTAAAAATATGTCATACTTACATTTCTACAATGTTATCATAGGAAGAATTGTTAATTATCTATTTTTAAAGGGACACTATTAATGAAGTGGCTTAAATGCAAAAATATACCTCTATGAAGGGCAATGAATTGGAATAGAGATCATAAGAATTATTTACTCATGTGCAGAAGGAGCAAGAGTGTGCCTTGGCCATGGTTTACAGGTACGTTTAGGTAGTAGTAAAAAAAAAAACCCTCCTCACAAATTGTGTAATACAAATATCAACAGTGGCTGTGCTTTGATTAAAAATAAATATATATATACATACATACTGATATATAAACACAAAAAAGAGTTAAAAGAAAGATCAATATAGCTGTTATCCAGAGGCTGTTTTCCATTCCAATTTGAAGGGATTTAAATCCATATTTCTGTATACATTTTTGTATCCCCAATATATTGTGCTCCATTTCTTACTGTTAGATTTTTTCAATTTGTTTTTTCATTACTGTGTTGATTTTTACATTTTTACATATATATTTATTTATTTGGGAGTCCAGGCCAACTCTTTTGCACCCCTACCTGTCACAGGTGCCTCATTCCAAGGTCCTATTTAACCTTGCACTACAGATTTCCCAAGTAAGAGCAGACATTAGGTTACTAGGACAGGATCTGCCAGGAATGGGGTACATTGGCGTTGTGGCAGGGTTATGCAAAGTATGATCATATACTATCACTAAACCCACTTTATTTGTACCTAAGTAAGGTGTTTTTTTTTTTTTTTAAATAATGATTACATTTTTTGAGCTTTGAAGTTGGTGTTTAGTGAGTGCGCTGGATCACGTATGTTTTATATATATTTACATATAAATAAATTGTTCCATTAAAATTGAGAGTTAGCCTGTTTTTAATGGTAAACAAAAGTCCCCAGAAGCCCATCCACTCTGCTTAGGCTAATGCGATAGCATTAGCCTGGGCAGCAGTGAGCGGTTGTGATTGACTAGTGTCCGTTGATCGCCTTCAGCCTGTCACAGCGCCCACTGCTGGTATGAATTAGTAGGACTAGAAGGAAGTGTGTAATCTCTGCCTAGTCACACCTCTAGTAGTAGCATGGTTGTAGGTGGTCAGGGACTCTAATTTAGTATCAATTTGTTAAAAAGAGTGCTATGGGACCCCAGGCACTATAACCAATTCAATGAGATGAAATAGTTATAATGCATACAGTGTCCCTTTAATCAGATTAAAGGAGTAACTAGTGTTTTTCAGCTGCAGCTCTGTTCTGGTTTCATGAAAGTCAATTGAAAGATTCTTGTGCTTCCGCAACTGCAGATGTCTTCCACTGGGGCACAAAGCAATCATATTAAAGGGACACTCTAACCACTGAACTTTAGTTTAATGTAGCAGTTTTGGTGTATAGATCAGGGTCCTGCAGTCTCACTGCACAATTTGTTTTAATTTGTTGTGTTTTCAAAGTGTGTTTACTTTAGAAGTTATATTCTGCTCTGTTAACTGAACCTTAATTACAAGCTTTAGCAGGCTATTATCAGAGCAAGAGAAAATACATCCTAAATTAAATAGATTGCACAATAAAAGTTTAAATATTAGATCTCTCTTTGCAGGATATGTGAAGGGAGACTGTGTAGGTCTCATGCAGAGAGGTGTGGCTAGAACTGCAAAAATAAAGTGAATTAACTCCTAAATGGTACAGGATTGAGAAGTTAGACTGCAGGGGCATGAGCTATACACCAAAACCACTTCATTAAGCAAAAGTTATATTGGTGCTTAGAGTGTTCATTGAAGATTACCCTCCTCACGCTCTGACTGACAGCTGGGGCAGTGTAATTTAGGAGCTTTATAATACGGAAATATGAACTTTTATAAAATAAGTAGAGGAAACGTAAATGCTTTATGAGTTTGTAACATCCTTTTAATCTAGTAATTGTGCCAAATACAGATAGCCAGAATCAGACGTTGCCATGCAGACTGATGATGATCGATATCTTTAGCAGTGACATGCTACCATCGTATAAAAATATTTATTAAATAAATAAATAAATAAATAAATCTGCATAAATAATTGTATTTGTTTTCTGCAATTTCCATTTTTATTTTGTTGTTCAAGCATGCTTGGTGACACTTATCTTTAGCGGTTAAACCGCTCACAATTGGTTTAACTCCAAAGTCATAAATCCAGTGCCGTTTGGCTCTGCCCCTGCTCTTCTGACGCCCTCGGATTCTTGAAACAAAAAGCCTCAAACTACCTAGGACAGGGGCATTGCCGATAGGCTGAGAGCGTTACCTGAGCGCCAGGGCACTCCTGGCACAGTAAAAAAAGTTATCAGCCTGTAGTGGTTATGGCCCTTGAAAAATCTGGATAATCTTACCTTTGCAAGGTCTATCAGGTTTCCTTTTAGTTGAGCCTAGACAGAAACATATGGCAGACTTAGTAATGCAACAGGCTAACCATAAAACAAACTCCATCAATAACATGAAACTTCCTGCGACATTTCACTTCAACACTGAAGGATATAAATGAATGAAATGTGAAGAACTTGTGTTTTTACGATGCTCAGTTTGTGTGAGTCA